GTTAAATCGCAGCGGCCACCAAAGAAGAGTGCCATCAATTGACCGTGAGCTTGCTGAACTTCCTGGGACAAGTGGGGTACCGAGTGTCCCGGAAGAAGGCTTATAACCAATCACTGAGCGATACACTTGCAAACATATGTATAAAAGGTACCCAAAGATAAAAACCGGTGGTGCTTGCTTTGCAAACGATTGCCAAGCACCCCTCTCTGCGCAGACTGGAAACAATAAAGATTAAGTTGGATCCTCCACCCCTGTGTGTTCATTAGCAATAGCGCACCGGGCACGAACTCACACTGTCCGTTGGGGACAACAATGCTGTACCTGGTGGCCGCCCCAGCAGTTCCAGGACTGCATTGCACACGGCGTCTGCTTCAACCAGTTTGGGATCTGTGCTGCATGCAAGCACTGTCTGCAGCATGGGTCCTGGACCAGCTGAGCTGGCTGCTGCACAAGGCATGCATCCCAGAACAAGCACCACATGTGGCACAGTCTGGCCAAGGCAGCTACCACATGCAGCCTGGCTAGTGTTCTGGTCAGACTGCGCTGCATGTGGCGCTTGTTCCATCCACTCCAGGATCCATGCTGCATGCAGCTGTAATGGTTGCCAGATCAGGTATGCTGGGGAAGAGGGAGGAGGAGGTGTCAGACACTCCTGCTTTACAGGGACCTTCTTTGGAGAGATTATGAGAATCCATTGCCCAGTTTGGTACACAAAAATACCCCAATACCTTAAAAGAAAGCCATTACAGAAAAAGCATTTCATGAAACCTTGGGAGCAGTGAAAGACCAAAAGGTCAGGAAATGATTCTAAGTGTATGTCCCTACAGTTCAGGGTCTTAGAGTAATACCATATTTCCTTGCATATACCATGTGCCCTCTCCACCCCACACCCGCCCGGGCCCAAAAAGTAAGCTACCCCTTAAAACTTGGGTGGATGTATGAAGCAGGGAAGCTGATTTTCTGGATGGGAGAGAAGCTAACTACTTTGATTCCTGTTTCACATCAGCTGTTGCATTACAGTTCAGTCAACTGAAAGAAACAATTGATTTAATGTCTCATTGTTCTTTACTCCAGAGGTGTTAACTATCATCTCTCCTTTTTAACCGTCTTGATGTTCCACCAATTGAGCTAACGTTTCTTAGGGCAATTTTGCTATCTGCTGGCTACTCCCAGTCTCTCTCCTCCTATTTCACAGACTTGGAGACTCTATGGTTCTTTTCTGAACTATGGAAGCCAATCATCAGAAACAGCTAGGGTTTCACCTTTAGTGAAACAGAAAAGGGAGGCTGAGTTAGCTGAAGATTAGGCTCTATCCCTGCTCTAGGCAACCATAATCTGGAAACATTTTTTCTTCTTCATTCTTCCTTTCAGAAACAAGGTGCATTTTATTTTAGGGCATGCTATCTATAATAAAAATGGTATGCTTCCTTCAGCTCATGAGTTGCAATGTAGAAAGGGAAGGGATAAGAGGTGAGAGTAACACATGAAAACAGCACTTCCAGATGTAGACACTAGTTATTACATCTAATATTGGTCTCTGATCCTGTCTTTGATTATATTAGCTAATAATGGAAGTAAAAGCCCTGGGTTATAAAGTCCCTTGAATCATCTATTACTGCTGAAAGTATCTGAAGACTATTTATGATTTTAGTAGGCTATGAGAAGTGTTCCTCAATAGAACATAGGCAGGATTGGGGGAGACCAGTTTCAAACTAGATGACAGGTGTTTTTAATTACTTTCCAAATCTTTTTTTCTCTAAAAGGAGGACGCTCCATACATCCATGAAGTAAGAGTGCTGGTCTCCAAAAAGGTGGTGGGATTAGTATGTTGACAACTTCTGATTTGCAGCTCCTAACCTGAACTAAGAGAAAACAGAGATGAAGGATGCTTTGCCATCATCTGAGCCTTGAAAAAATCTCTCTTCTGCCGAGTGAGAGAAAGGTGGTTTCTTGTAGTTATTGTCAAGGCCTTGGTGTAATAAGACAGCAGTGAGGATCAGAAATAGAACTGCCTCTGGTGCCTGGGGAAAAAAAAAGGTGTAGGAGTCCTTACTCAGAGGGGAAAATGACCAAGATCTTCCAGTAGATTTAAAAGCTCTCCATCTGTCCTGGTACTAAATCTATCTTTTTCAGAGACAGAATAGAACCTTCTACCCTAGTATTAAGCATGTGAGAAAGAGCTGAAGATCTTTATTAAGTATGTCTGCAGAGAAATGTTACAGATGCACCAACCTTCAGAAACATTTAAATGAAGCTCCGAGTGCATTTTTTGCAATCATCTAAAACAGTAGTTCTTAACCTTTTTTAGAATCAAGGCACCTCTTGTTCAATTCAAGGCAGCAGCCAGGCAGGGATGAGGCTGAGCCTGTGTTTATCTCATACCTTGCGGCACCCATCCAAAAGATCTTCTGGTACCCTAGTTGAGAATCAGTAGTCTAAAACTACCATTATTTGAGCATTTCCTAACTTACATTAGGGTCCTCTTGGAAGATTTTTGTGAGCAACATTTTTTCTCCATAAGTGAAAATGTACAATGATATCAATGCCTGGTAATTTGCTACCAGCATATTGAAGGAGGCAGAACAAAAATATTCTCCTGATCGTTGAGTCCATTTTTTTTTTAACCAATCTAACTTGGATGTGAACTAGGCTGTGGACATCCTTGCCTTTATCTACCACCAATAGATTTGGAGGAAGATCATGTGGAAAACTGAACTACTTCATATGATATGATACAGCCTGTTAGCTTGCTTGGAAACTGATTGGCACAAAGAAGGATAAGAACAAACTGATATTGCCGGTTGCCAAAGTCTATCTAAAACTGGAAAGGAAACTATTCTTTGAGGTAAAGTCAATACTAAAGATGACTGGCTGAACAGTATCCTCTAAAGTCAAATACAATTTTTAAATTTGTAAATAATTTATTCACAAATGGAGCCATTATTACCTCTAGCTCTCTTTCTCTGAAATAAAGCTTGTTGACAGATTGACAAAAAGACTTAGCTTTACCATGAAACAGCCAGTTATTAAGATGAAGAATTCCTGAAACACTCCTTTCTAAAAGAACTTTGTTATTTTACCACCATAATTCTGTTGACAAGTGTTGGGCCTGTGGCAAGATAAAAAGACCTGGGCTTGAAAATGGCATTCTCCAAAGACAAATATAGAACATATCTAAGACAACACTGACAAAATAAGATGGATTAGTTCTGAAAACAGCATTCCCCAAGGAATATAAATAGTGAGAACATGGACCCAAAATGCTTTCATAAAGACAGGTGACAAGAGTGTATGCATGCATAATTATCTTAAAATGGTCTGTCACTACAACTAAGTTACTCATTTTAGATTAAAAAATAGAACTTCTGGGGAGTTAAAATTTTCTTAGAGGAGTCTCTGAATGTGAGGATCAAACCATCTGTACCACAAGCTTTTGTTAAGCAGTGTCCATTGGGGCCAATGCCATTCTTCCCCTCACTTCACAAAAGGCTCAAAAGGACATTAAAATGTAGAGATTCCCAAAACATTCTTTTAGGTCCTTTAACTCATTCAGAAAATTTTACCCTATTACTTCAAAATAGTGGAAAAGGCCAGTAGAGAATATACATGCAATCTTGGACCCCAGTTACTGGTAAATAACAGTTGGTTCTTTCAGTAACCTCTGTATAATTTACATTTGTGGGAGCACAGCAGTACTGAACAGCTCCCACCTCACCCCACCTTAGACAATGGACAAAATTGTAGGAGATGCCAGGTCAAGACTGTATAAGTGATGCATGCCTCCCTTTTCCAAATGAAGCTCCAAGGAGGGAAAACTGTTGGTTGTGTGTAAAGCAGCCAAAACACATTGTACGGAGAGATTATGAAGGAATGCTATGCCAGCTGCATAGGCCTAGATTTTTTAAAATACTGTAAAAACTTCAGGCAGATGAACACATACAAAGTCATAAAAATTAGAAACAATTTGAATGGTCTGAACAGCCAGGGAATTGTGATGTACTAACAACTAGTTTTACCACCATATGCTACGAGAGGTTTGCAGGAACAAGACCACACATTGTATCACATTCCTGAGACGCTGATTTGGAAAGCAAGACTTGCAGATATATCGATGTCAGAGGCACAGTATTAACTACCATGTATGAGTGCTTTGCTGCTATTGTTAGACAGCTTTTGGTATCCACACTAGTTCAGGCACCCCCACACTAAATCCACCCTTCCTCCCAGAAAAACCTCCCAAATAAATGAGACTGAAAACACTTATAGGATTGGAAACAATAAGCAATATTCTTTCTGAAGATACCTGACTAGGATTTACTCCACTGGCGTAACATGTAATTCAATATAACTGCACTGCTATATGTACAGAGCACTCAAAGAGTCTGCCAAGACACTATTTTCCTTGGCATAGGAGACAAGACTGATTCAGTGTGAAAACTACTCAAAACAGAAAAACTTCCTAACACAACCAGCTTGATCAAAACACATTAACGTTTGCTAACTAGAAGAGTAGAGGTCAAGGTGAGTGTCCAAGTTAATTGCTAGACTAGTACTGCAGGTGGCAGGGAAAGGGAAAAGCAACTTTCTGATGAATACATTCTTTTCTCATCTTCAATATTCTAAGTCACAAAGTCTCAGGTGTTTATACTGTCAAAATGGGAGCGGTACATCCATAATCAGCCTTCCATAACCTAGACCAATAATACAAAGGAGTTTTTACAACCAAGTAAAAAAAATCCTGAAAAAACAGGGAGTGATGGG